GGACTTTATTTGGTGGTTTTATTATTGATAAATGGTATCTCCCAGCGCCACGTACTTGAATATATGTAGCTGTAAGTTGGAGTTATCGCAGCAGTTCAGTAATTATAAGACTGATCAACCGGTGAAGTGAAAATACCACCAGCATCAGTAGTAGTAGTAACAAAGAAACAAGCGCGCAGTGCAGCTGCTGTGGCAGTGGGGGAAGAGGGATAAGAGGAGGGGGAGGGGAGTTGACGTTATTTTTTTGTGGCAGCCAGTAACGTTTATTGAGTTTACCCTCCATTTTTAAAGTTCTATCAGGAGGGACTGATTAGAAACTCTTGCTCGTATTTAATCGGCTTTTAATGCTGTGTAGTTCTTTTTTTTCCTTGTAATACAGCAGGTATCGAGTTTCTTCAGTTATGACTTCGTTTCGAGTGCAAATTTTAGTCCTAACACAGGGCTGGCTATATATGTTTTTTTTTTTTTGCATATACTTTTTTTGTATTTGCTAATACATCTGATAAAACTATCTTTGTGAAATATTATTATGCGAGTAAATTGCCTGCAGGAGGCTTACAGGGCATTACCTGAATTATTACCTGCAAGTAATTTGGATGAGGTAAGTGGGACTTAAATCACAGGAAGTCGCCTAACTGTAACTCCCTCGATGCCCGATCCCTACCACTCACAAAAAGCTAGATCTGACATGAAATTAATAATTACAATATTAAACATTAATACCAATGAGGGTAAATTATATAATAGTGGATTGTATATGATTAGGCTTGCTGGGTACACAAAAGAAATTGGTATTAACACTTACCACTTAATTACTGGAAGACAATACTGATGGAACACTAACCTTACCCTAGCAGCTAGAATTTACGATGGCCAACGCAAAAACTACTGTACATTATGGGTAAGCGTCACTTAGCTGAGGTGTGCTCCTGAGAGAATTGGTGTCCTTTATTTTTCCGACCTGGTTGCCGAATTGTAAGGATTTTTCCACACTATCCCAATTCTTCAGCATGGGACATTAACACGGGTTCCTATTACAAATTTAGCCGAAAACCCCCAATTGGCCTTCAAGAATGCCTGAATATGTCGCACAATTCGGTCCAGTGTTCACACAAATTCAATATGGCGTCTTCCGCGGCGTCACTCCTCTGGCTGTTCTGCCTCCCCTCCTCACTCGAAATTTCTCGAAGGGTCCAAATAGCATCACATTTTAATACGCATTTATTATATTATTGTTCTACATTTAGGAAATCATGTAAAAAAAATCCACAATCTTGTTAAGGCTACCATGTTATTGCTTGTGATCTTGTATATTAATTTTTTTTGTTTCAAACGTAGTATTTTAAGGAAATCACGCTAGTAGGAAAATGAAAAAAAAAAAGGCATTGCAAACGATATAATGGGAAGGATACAAATAAAATGTGTATATTTCAGTGTTTGAGGCACACAGTGCTTGTATTAGTTGTGTTTAGCTTTTTATTTTTTTATAACTCATGCTTAGCAACGTAGCAAAGAACGAAAGCTTGTCTCGCATACGCCAGACTTGTAAGAAAGTATATTTATATTTAAATATTTTATCCCTCACCACAGCCTTAGGGCGCAGAAGGAATACATTGTACAGTGCAGTGAATTAATGCGTCGTATCGTGAACCTAGACATGCTGGCGTCTCATAACACCAAACTGTAGGGTGATGAGGTAAAGAGAAGTGTTAGAAAAGAGTTAGAAATTCGAGACTTGGTGTTAATGGGAGTTAGAAAAGGCAGTGTGGGAGGGAAGAAGGGTAGTAACACATAGAAGAAAATAAAAGGGCAAAGGGAGAGAGAGGGCAAGGATACAGGGCTTGGAAGAAATGTGAAGGGCAGGGATACAGGGTGGGAGAATAGTTGGGAGAGGGGGGGGTGGATCTGTTGTACTGTGGTGGGTGTGTTATCGCAAGTATCTGCGCGTGCCTAGTGATTGTGTTGGCTTCCCTTGCATTATATGAACATTGTGGTATATGGCGCATACTTTTTATACACCATTGTGCTATACTGAAGGAACGATGAATGCTTACATAGGACTTGCCGTTACCAACTGTCTCTTATTAACATAACTCCTCACAACTAAAGGTCTCGGGTCTAACTAATGAGTCACATCCTGAGGGTGGTAGTATACCTTAGATTGGTCCAGGCTATGAAATGATCGGAGGTTCGAAATGGGTTCCTTCATTTTTTAACCACTTTGATGGGTAACTAACCCAATCAGTCTGTAGATGAACCTCAAAAAAAAAAAAAACGACGGTAGATTGGTGTAGGGGGAAGGAGGGAGAACTCTGCTAAATGATGCGAAATTAAACAGCTGTTTTTTTCTCCGTATTCCTGCTGGATCAGTTCAGTCGAGGAAATAATATTATACAAGTATGGTCCCGAATCTGCACACAGAAATTACTCCCTACGAAAGTAAAAGACTGGGCAGGCGATGCAAAATACCCCCAATTAAAAGTAGGGGCGCCATTGGTCACTAAAAGAAAACACCATAAGTGTCCGGGGCCCAAGACTGTTCAACAACCTCCCACCAAGCATAAAGGGGGATTACCAGTAAACCCCTGGCTGCCTTCAAGAGAGCTGGACAGATACCTACAGTCAGTGCCGGATCAGCCGGGCTGTGGTTCGTACGTTGGACTACGTGCGGCCAGCAGTAACAGCCTGGTTGATCAGGCCCTGATCCACCAGGAGGCCTGGTCGTGGACCGGGCCGCGGGGGCGTTGATCCCCGGAATAACCTCCAGGTAGACGCCAGGTAAGTACTTAAGATTCAGCCAATTGGAGCAGTTCCCAAAACAATGTTCATTACAATGTGTATATATATGTATGTGTATATGTTGTGCCGAATAGGTAAAACTTGCGAGTTTGGCTAATTGACCAGTTTGACCTATTTGTCACACACACCACACACTCACACACCACACACACACACACACACACACACACACACACACACACCCCACACACACACACACCCCACACACACACACAACCACACCACACCCAACACACACACACACACACACACAACACACACAACAACCACACACACACACAACACCCACACACACACACAACCACACACACA